GACACAACACACACACACACACACACACATATATATATATATGCATATATATATATATATATATATATACACCCACACACATATATATATATATATACATTCATACATACACACATACACACATACACTCGCACACACACATACACATACACATACACATACACACACAAATATATATATATTTTTTAATTATATATATATATATATAATAATATATATATATATATATTATTATTATTAATATATATATCTATATCTATCTAGATATAGATCGATAGATAGATAGATAGAGAGAGAACGAGTACTAGTGCGAAAGAAAGTCTCTGGAGGAAACTCACGAGTTCTTGAGCTACAGCCTACAAGCCTACAACTCGACATTTCATATTTGTCGGGAAGTCTGGGAGTCTGGATTTTGGGTACGAATGGACTAATAATGAACCCAATAGCAAGGTGTTGCTTTGATGGCCATGTTCAGTGTTGCCGTATTCATATTGTTCCATCAACGATTTGTTGTGGTCAGTCGTCAGTCTTGAGTCTTTAGGCCTTTATTTTCTTTATCTTTTCATGGCATTGTTCAGGTTATGTGTTCAATTTATGTAGAAGGCTATGTCATGTATGATCGTTTATTGCACGCCAGTCGAAGCCGTCACTCGACGACTCGCCAGTCGCCTGTCGCCCCTTGACCACTTCGCCTCTCGACAGGGCCTAACTCTCTATGGATAATAATTATATACAAGAAAATTTTAAAATTTTAAAATATGTTGCACTGTGACTCAAAGTCTCCAAGTCAAGTCTCACCTTTTTTTTGGTTTTTAAAAAGACCGTCTTAAAAAAATGTTTTTGATGATCTGAGATCTCAGAGCAGTTCCACTCTCATTCTTGACTCTTTTTTTTACATACATACCCTTTTTTGACCTCTGTGTCACCTCACTGACCTGTAGTCCTGTAGGCTGTATTTATATTTTATCACAGTCCAGTGTCCAGTTGTCCACTGTAAATACGGCGTACAGTACGCATACCTTTGTTTAAAAAAAATAATAAATAGTAATATGTATATCGACAACGATCTACAGCTATGTAGTAGACGACGTTTATAACCTTACATATACGTGTAGCAAGTTTTTGGGGAATACATGATCGGTAGATATGCCATACTTTAGTTATCATACTTTAGAGCATCATTGTAAAGCTTACGAATACGTGTAGCAACTCTCTGGGGCAATCATGGTCGTTAAAATTTTTATACTAAGATTGTATTTCTTAGAAACAAAATAGCACCTATTTGGGAAAATTATGGACTGCAGAAATTTCATAATATAGTTATTTTTCTTGACAATATCATTGTAAACCTTGCATATGTGTTATACTATCGATATCTTTTTTGAAAGCATCATCGTAAACCTTGCATATGTGTTATACTATAGTTTTCCATCTTGAAGAGCATCATAGTAAACCTTGCATATGTGTTATACTATAGTTATCTTACTTGAGAGTATCATCGTATACCTTGCATATGTGTGATACTCTAGTTTTCCATCTTGTGAGTATCAGAGTAAACCTTGCATATGTGATATGCTATAGTTTTCTTTCTTGAAAGTATCATAGTAATCTACAAATATGTTAGATAACTCTATGGGGCATTGTGGTCTGTATAGTTTCATTTATAGCTATCGTTCTGGAAAGTGCCATTGTTTGCCAATCGTAAATACAGGAGAACTTTGCCGCTGCTGAGCTCATAGTCACTGACGGACAAAATATAATAGCCTTCATAGCCCAAATAGGTTTTAAACCGAAATAACCAAAACTCATCCGTTCGCAAAACCACAAAAGAAATTTTGTACCGCGCTTACCGTTGTCTCCGTAAAGAGGACCAGCAGGTGGATGTTTGTATGGTGTAAATTTAACATCAAGGTGTAGCTATAGTTAAGCATTCAAATTTAACATGTTTTAGAGTTAAAGTGGCCATGGGCTATGCGTACCAGCTGCATTCCCATGACCATCGCTAGTATTTGCTAATGACAACAAGGTGCAACTCGTTTCACGTTATGAATATTCTCTGTTGCGCCTATCATCGTCAAAGGTGTAATACTCTATCTATTGCTCCTATCATCTCCAATGGTTTATTATCATATCTGTTGCGCCTATCATCGCCAATGGTGTATTATCCTATCCGTTGCGCCTATCATCGCCAATGGTTTAATATCATATCTGTTGCGCCTATCATCGTCAATGGTTTGATATCCTATCTGTTGCACCTATCATCGCCAATGGTTTATTATCATATCTGTTGCGCCTATCATCGTCAATGGTTTAATATCCTATCTGTTGCGCCTATCATCGTCAATGGTTTGATATCCTATCTGTTGCGCCTATCATCGTCAATGGTCTAATATCCTATCTGTTGCGCCTATCATCGTCAATGGTTTAATATCCTATCTGTTGCGCCTATCATCGGCAATGGTTTGATATCCTATCTGTTGCACCTATCATCGTCAATGGTTTAATATCCTATCTGTTGCGCCTATCATCGCCAATGGTTTAATATCATATCTGTTGCGCCTATCATCGTCGATGGTTTAATATCCTATCTGTTGCGCCTATCTTCTGTGAATAAACGTTCAGCGGGAGTGCCACCACAGCACAGGCGTCGCACTCCCGGCATATTATACCGAGTGACGGGCTGTCTTCAGGAATACATCCACAATGGTAGGTAGATCTCTCGCTCTGGCATGAGCTCTGTGGGTCCTCTCATAACCTATCTCACCTGAGTGAGAGACCCAAACACACTTGCCATCCTTGCATCGACTGCTTAAGGTACCAGGGTAAGGCTAAAACACATAGTACCACAGGGGTCTATAGGCATACTGAGATTGGCCACAGTGGTACAAGGGACTACTACTCTGTCAGCTTGTGCTAAATTGATGAATCTATTGCGCTACCCTTTCGGGCCGCACTCATTTGTTCACCGGGTAGTAAAGCTTGAACTCTGCCGGCAGCTGTATTGAAATCGGGAACATAGGAATATCATTACCAAGGGGCTGCCAAAATTATGCACACAAAAGGTAATTATGATGTTGTTGAGCTGATATGTGCTGATGGGTGTACACAAATATACACCCGACATAGTATGTATGTGAGCGCGCACAAACGCAAATACTATCAAACATATATATATATATATATATACATACATATACATACACACATCCATACGTACATACATACATACGTACATACATGTATACATGTATACATACATACATACATACATACATACATACACATATACACACACACACACACATATATATCTACATATACTCCCGAATATATATATATGTTTATATAG